CCGTTTTTAGATCGCGCGCCGCGAATCGTTGTGGCTTTGCGCTCGGGTTTCGCGCGAGCGAAGCATCGTCCTGCTGTGCCTCTCATTAAGCTGCGTCAACGTCGAATGAGCAGCTTCTTCCCGCTTTGTAAGCTGCTGTAACGTGCGAATCCGATCCACAGTCGCGCGCGTGTGGCAAATTAATTAGACCAATTCTGCAATAATGGGCAGCTCACCCGTGCATAATCCCGTTATCGACTACGAAACCATCGTTCCGCAAATTCAATGTTTGGCTTGCTATAAACTTGCTTCCTCCTCTATTTCTCTTTAGCCTTTTTGGAATCGTCGATTTACCGCCAATAAACTCCGATCTATGTCGAGAGAAAAAAGAAATTTGAAATGATTGCACTGCATTACATTCCGAAATCAGAGGATTTTAGTTAAGTCTAGTGATCGACTATCTCGAGTTTATGGCACGACAGTTGCAGAGAGGCAAGAAATATAAATTAAATATGACAAGTGGGAACATTTGGTTGATGCGCTTGTTCGCAGTTGATGCTGCTCTGTCAACACGAGCATACGTACCGTTCGACATTGTTCGGTGCACGTTATTTTCCGTCTCTCTTTGGGCATCGGGGTTTGCACCGTCGAATCTCCAGTTGCTAAAATCCCATAGAACTCATAATTACCAAAGTTACTTGGCGCACAAAGATTTCATCGCTGCATGATTACAAGCCCGCGGCAAACACAAACGGAAAACTTCATTAAAGCCTCGGGGAGAGCCTCTGGCTACTTTTTCTCTAGAAAGATAGTCTGTGTGACGGATATTTTAGAATTCTACTCGATGTACCGTCTTTCTTGATTACACAGCTCTATCCCTCGAAACAAATTGTCGTAGTTCGCACTTGTCTCCAATGCGAGGAGAGACGTCTTCTGCCATGATTATCCCCGTCGAAAAGCTTAACGAATTTATTTTTGTGAAGGAGCTGCAGCTATACTACACTGCCGACGGCTTACAAGCCCTGAGAGTCGGCTTAATCCACTGAGCCTTGATTATTTTGGGTGATGCTGCTGCTGCTGCTGCTGCTGCTGCTACTCGAACTTCGCCTCGTTTCAAGTGTTAATCGAGTTTTGCTGTATTGACTCTGAAAGCTTCGAATGGTTTTTCTCGTTGCTTTAAAGGGGGACATGCAGATGTCGTCGTTGAGTTACTTGTTTACTGATGAGTGTCAAGTATTGATTTGAGATGTATACATTTTTTTCAATTTTACGAGCAGTTGCTCTGTACATAGTAATAAAAATTAACGATCTCAAAAACGTATAAGTAGCAAGAGTAAAAATTAAATTAATGCACTCATTGTACGGCTGAAAGAGCTAAAGAGGAACTTGATTATTCATGATATTAGCTATGATGAACCACGAGTCCTGAGAAGAGAGATGATTTTTATTTAAAAATAGTTGAAAATAGAATTTCTCTGTAACAAAAGGATATCTTTTTGATAGAAGAGGATATCTTCTTATTACTTTCGATACAAAGAAACTAATTAAGATAATGAACAAAGTTTGATCGATACCCCATAAACTTAAATGATAAGAAAGAACAAGCGTTGTCACCGAAGTATGCGTTTTAATGAGCAGCACCTTCCGTGGTATAATGCAGCTCTATAAAGTTTCGTCGCTTCAGAGAAAGACTTTATCAATGCTGCGAAACTTTCGTTTGCGTCTTCCAAGTTACACACCTAGTTGAATATATGATCGAGGAATAAAAGACACATTTGAATGTTCAATCAACCCTAAAACGCTTAAAAAACAAGAAGAAAAGTTTGTGCGTTGGAGCACGCGACAAGATGGCAATTTAACATGTAAATTCAATAATAATGATAGAAATCCAAACTTGCGAAATATTCATGTATGCGATAAGTTGAAAAGTGGCAAGTTTCGACCGATCGATATTCCAGTGGAGCAAGTTTTATCTGCTCTCCCCTAGTTTTCAGACTCCAACACCTCCGGGATTTGCATAAAACTTGTCACTTTTATATGGGGCAGAAAAAAAAAATATGATTTTCTCCCTCGCCCTATCTCGGTCTCGTTATCTTTTTTATGCGATTAAAGAATATTTGATTAATTTTTGCTATAAAAACTTTTAATTGAAATCGCAGCTGCCGAGAGTTTTATTATTATGTTTTAGTATTTCAATTATCCGCGACGCTTTTTATGAGTATACTCGTCGACAGAACGACAAAAGCGATGAAAACCAGGTATATTATGAACAATGTTTTTTCCAAATGGATAAGATCCAGTGCCAATTTTTATTTTGAATTGAGATTTCCGTGGCGCACAAGAAAAGCAAAATAATAAATGCTATAGATATTCAAAAGTATGCTTACGTTTAAAATGATTATTCAGTTTTCATTTTAACAAATAACTTGGATTTATCAAGCAGATTTTATATTACCGTGAAAATTCGTATTTGTTTTATTACTATTTTAAATAATGAATTAATCTTAATATCTTGTTCGCATTTTATCGTTGCGAATACAACATCTCACCTCGAAGCAGATTACAAGCTGATTATTATGCGAAATAGCCAACTAGCAAATGAATTTTAAATATCAATGATCTGTTGATTGATGAGTGGCTTTTAATTTTCAATCAGTTCCATCTACAATGTTGTCATTAATCTTAAGTAGCGAATGCGATGAAATTCAAAAACTGTTTGCGAGTATTCTTCATAATGTAATTAACATTTAAAGCTCTTTTAAAATAATAATTATCATACTTTAATCGTATTGATCTCATTTTCAAGTCTAAATTTCACCAAACATATGTCGTACGTATATTTACGTTACTGAAATAGTTGTTCGAAAACTCAATTCTTTGGATGAAGCAAGATTTATAAAAGTTTATAAAATTATTTAGCGAAATCTGTTTTAAATTTTGATAATTTTAATTCGTATGACATTTGGAAAAAAATGTTAACTAAATTGTCGTATAAATGAAGATGGAATCATGATAATGGCGCCAAATGCCCATTGGAATGTTATTTTTATGAAATACATCGAAACTTTATGTTTAAAATCATATTTTTGTTGAAACGGTCAATTTTTAACGAGAGTCTGCGAATCCTCGGAGCGTTAAAAAAAAAAAGTTCAACAAACTCATACACAGCGTATTTTTACTAGCGCACGACCGGTTTCTCGCAAGAATCAAACGGAAGCATCGGATAAAAAAAAAGCGGATTTCACGGTCAGTATACAGACAGACCATTCTGAAGAGAAAGAGAGAGAGAGAGAGAGAGAGAGAGTATAACGTTTATGCCTGACTGAACTTGGCTGCGGGCGGTTTGTGTATACGCATGTACCCACGACAATAGTGTACTGCTGCTGTTGGTGGCGAGCGTTTTGATTAAAATTTGAAGCCGTTTGTTGGTCATTGTTCTAGTATCTCGGGCTTAAACATATATATATATATATATATATATATATATATATATATATATATATATATATATATATATATATATATATATTATATGGCACGACATGTAAAAAGGATTTTCTACCTTGCTGTGGATCACTATAGTGAAAGGCTTTGTTACTATGCGTTGCGCTGCGGTAGTTTCGAGATTGACTTTTACATATTGGGTTTTAACAAACACTTTTTTTTCAATTTTGTTGCAAACTCGCTGTTGACATTTTTCATTATGATGGTCACTAGTTTTCGTTGATTACTATTTGACAGCGTCAAAGATCAAAATCTTGATCATTACGCGCGTTGCGAAAACAATGTATATGATTCCCTTCGGGTTTTTGCTTTCCACTGATTGTAGCAACGGCATTAATTATAGATTTAAGCGAACAATAAAGTCTTTCGCAAGACGAGAAGTTACAAAATTGATATTGTCTCGTTCGATGACGATTAACGGTTTCATTGATACGAACTGACAGCCTTCTCAATGAGAAAGTGACAAAACAATACGAGTCGCAAGGAAATATCCGACAGCCGATTACAATTATACACTTTCGATTTCGCATATTGCGTCGTTTGCTTTACTGCGACAATTAATTCTTACATAAAAATAGAAAGAGAAACTAAATCGATTTCCGTCAAGTCGAATATTGCGTTTCGCCCCCTAATTTCGAACACCTGCGAGCATCGAAAAACCGCATTAGCTGCCACTGCAAGAGAAATATTCACCTCATAAATCATTGACTTCCTTTGGACTCGAAAGAAAACACGCTTCTCGCAGGAATTCTCGAAGGAGGGAACGAAGCAAAATCGCTTCGAGCTTTTATACAAAAGCTTCTTTGATCGTTGTTTTACACCTCCTGTCTGGGTATGTGAACACCGGAGCTTTGATGAGGGTTTAGTTAGACACGACGGAAAGTAACTTTAATCGGTTTAGAAAACTGAATGCCCAAGGCATGCACTTCATTATGAATTTTTGCCTTTGAGCCACAAGTTAATTAATGTATTATGCTGATGCTGTCTCGCTTTTGTTCTGACTTTTACAGCACAGATATTAATATATTTTAAGGAACATTAGATATACTCAATTTCCCTTGGCTCTACCTAATTATTATTATATGGATTCAGTTCTTGGCTGCTATTCAATATTTAATGTGCAAGTGCCGGAAGACTATTGTTTACATTTATTATTAGTTACATAGCAATAAGAATTGTTCGCATTATTGGTTTCTTTTTATAATTAAAAAAAACATATTTCGATGAGAATAATGTTTTCTATTGTAAAATTTATCTCATTACACAGAAACTACAGCCATATGCTTCTAACAAATTACGACTGAGAATGTCGTATTTACGATCGAAGAAGCTAAATACAGAAATTATGGCAATGGCAACAATTGTCCCCACGCGAACGGAACTAATCCAAAGTTCGGCACTATTCGACCGATACAAAGCTCTGTTTTGAATCCCGTCCAATTTCACGCGGCTCGAAACTTCTCTTCTATCTGTGTGTATATATATTTTCCCCTAATTCTCCAATTTTTTCGTTGCAGGTATGAATCTGTTGGCGCTGCTGACTTTCCTACAACTTGCCAGTGGAATGTTAGTGATGGATTCCGAAATACCACTTAAAAAGTGTCGGTATTTCGAGGATCGTAAATATAATCTCAATCAAGTTCTCTGCAAGGATCTCAAGCTACTAGATATACCTGATAATCTGCGTTCGAATGTCGAGGTTAGATGGTGTTACTGTATTTATAATTTTTTTTGGTCGAATGAAAGAAAGATGACGAGATTCATTTTTGAAATCTTTTTTTTTTCATTATTACGGTTTTTCAGTAGAGCATGCTAATGGCTCGGAACTTTTAACGTTCCAAACTTTTAGTTTGAAACTTCAATTAAAATCGCGTGTTAGTGAAAAAACAGATTAATGGTAATGACGATGCACGCGAATTTCTTCTTTTTTTACCTGGAGAGCTCTAAAAGGACCATTTTTCATTGTTGCACTTCCTCTCATTTATATGTCGAGTGGAGTACCTTTGCAAGCGTGAATTTTAGCACTAGCTGAAAGAAAAAAAACACAACAAAGTTAAACGCGATCCAAAAGTTTTCAAAAGTAAAAAAGGAGTGCAACTAATTCGCAGTTTCATTCACACATGCGTTGTTTTTGTCTTGTCGTGCGTTTCTTTTCTGTCTTTGTTTTGCAACCAACTTGCTCACCACTTTTAGATGGGTGTGGAAAGAGAATTTTAATGCATCATAACTGGACCTACAGTTTAAGCTTGAAAATTCAATGAAAGTCGCGCTTTACTGAAAAAAAAAAAAAATTAATGGTAATGACGATACACGTGAATTTATTTTTTTTGTCCTCTTCTCTTTTTTGTTTTAAATAAATAAATTAGTCGATAAAAAACTTACAATATTTATTTTTTTAATAGGTACTGGATGCCCGAGAAAATCGAATTCGCGAGCTACGCAACAACTCGTTGAAGCGTTACTCAAATCTACGTTTCCTCTATCTAGCTGACAACTTTGTGCAAACGATTCCCGAAGGAGCATTTGAGTCGACCTACTACCTGGAAGTGCTAGATCTATCGAAAAACGGGTTGACAGATTTACCAAAAAGTCTATTCCGCATGAATAATTTGCGCAACTTGTATTTCGAAGAGAATCAATTGCACGATCCAGTATTTGAAGTGACAGGTGTGACAGCACCACTGAAATGGTTGTACTTGTCGGGTAACAAACTCACGCAGATACCACGACTCAGCCCAATACCATTGGTCACGATATTGAATGTGTCACACAATCAAATCACTCGAGTGACCACTGAGGATATCGCCCCATTGTGCTTGCTTGAGTACCTCGATCTACGCGACAACCCAATACAATTCGATCAAAAGACCTGCGAGTGCTACACTTTTAAGGAGTGGATCAAGTTCCGCAAGATCAATGTAAGTTTATTTATGCTTTTCTGCTTTGACTTTTTTACTCGTTTTACCTATTTTTGAAGGGCCTACAAAAGCTAATCGAATCTGTAGTGGAAGAGGTGGAGAATGAGCACGGGTTTTTGTAATATTTCGCTTATGTTCCTTCGCGTTTTTATTATATTTCATGAACTGGCTTAACGAAACTGTGACGACAAAAATGTATAAGGAGAGAGCTTCATAATACTCACATTCAATTAATATTATATAATCTTATGATCAATAGGACGCACAGAAAAAGCTAATCAAATAATGTTTTTTTTTTTTTTTTATCAGCTGAACATGACGGTGGACTGCCCAAAAAATCTACAGAAGAAGTGCGCATTCGGCCAACACGTTAAGCCAGAGATGCGCTTCTCCAATCGTACAATGACCCTGTTCAGCAGCTGCCAAGCAATACTGAAAACACGCGCCGAAGCCATGAAAGCTCGTACAACGTGGATCTGGATAGCGTCGTGCGTTGGCGCATTCATTGGCTGTATTTTCATCGCCCTCTGCTGCATGCACCGCAATAACAGGAACAAACGACGCCATCTCAAGGAACAAAATATACTCACGGCCAACAATGCCAACACAACAGAGCAGCTGCTCAACAAGGAGACCAAGCATGAAACCGCGTAATGGTTGCTAGGGATGGACTTTTGCGAATGCATTGTTTTTCTGTTCGACTGAGTCAACGCTCTTTCTCCCTCTCTTTATAGCGAGACCTGCTGAAATGAATTTTAATTGTCGGCCAAATTCGTTTAGGCAAAATTGTTCTTTGAATGTTATTCCGTGTCGTCATCTCGCTGTAAGAATCATAAAAGCTTCCAAAATTTTGTGTTATGTAATAATCAATAGCAGTCGATTGTATGAAGCTCACGCCTATATACACAACAATATTGTATTTACGGAAGTATAGCTTTTGTGTTCTACTCTTCCTACACTTCTAGCTAATTAGTCCTCATATTTTTCTTTCGAAGATGGGCAATGCGAGCCATGTACAACCGGCTGTTTCGATTACGGCGAAGAAGAGACTCGAGCTATCGCTATCGGTTGCGCTTATCGTACGAACGTGAATAACATTGCTGAATGAAAGTTTCGAAACAACAAACGATGCATTTTCGAAGGACCATCCTTTTTGGATAGTAAAATCGCCATTGTGCAGCCGTGACAAAAATTATATACAATGTTTTGCGAATACCTTTTATGCGCATACAAATACAACATACATGTCTTTGTATGCATTGCTAATTGAGTAAAAAATATATTTATATCGTGCACAGGGCGCTTCGTTTATTTATTTCGATGTAATGTTAAGCTCTTTTAGATAGAATAGTCGCTCACTATCTCGTGAATACTTTTATTAACTTTCTTTTTATATAAGTGCGTGTATATTTTGGTAAGTAATTCAGTGTATTAATTATTACTGTATATATTCGAGAGTAAACCTACTATCTGCGAAAATTATACAGCGTATAATTTTCTTCGCGGATCGTAATATATCTCAATTTTTCCATTCTTAACGAGCTACAAACACGTTAAAGTTGGTAAAACTGTTTTTGTGAAATGATCGTGAGAATGTTATTAATGCGAAATATATAGTTACGTGTAAGATATATGATAACTATTAACATTATTGAACTACGAAATATCTTTGGAGTATTTCAAACTTATATAATGTCCACTGATGTTTGTACGATTTTTTAAGTAATTGTTTTTTTTATCTTGTATCAATTAAAAGAAGCAGCATGCATTTTCACTTTTGTACGAGACGCCAAATACCTAAGGATAACTCATCTTCCGAATTTGCATAATAAAATTTTCTACTGTCAATTTTTGAATATTCAGCTACATAAGAACTACCAACAGAGTTTAGACTGTTTATATTTACGAATTTTTGCAACTCACTTGTATAAACGTAGCGATATTTGTAAAATGAAAAATCAAAATGTTTTTCCAAGAAAATAAGTAAGCTTAAAAAAGTGGACGAATAAGCCATAATTATTACCCTTGATAAGCTATACAGAATAGGACTGAATGAAGCTGTAAGGATTTTTTGTGATCCACAAGCGAACCATAGTTTAAGCTTTTCGTTCAATAATATTTTATGTATCCAGTAAATAAAAACAACGATCAACGTAGTAAAAACTCGTTGGTAATTTGCATATCATAGGTGCAAATTCAACATATCTAAAATAAAAGAAATTTACTGTATACGTAAATACTGAAATAAGTATGAACATTACTATATATATATATTATATCCAAAGATATAAATTAAACATTATATTTGTTGTTGAAAATATAAAATACTTGATATTATAAAATGCAGAGTTGTTATAGAAACCATACAACTTGCTACTAATAACCTGCTACTGATAACTAGAACTTTAATATGCAAATGTTTGAATAAAAAATGAGTTCACTCTGCAAATTCACTTAAAATCTCATAAAATATAAATAAAAGAACATGCATAGATATTCGTGTTATAAAAAATTCTACTAGATAGAGATGTGAGAATGACTGCATCTTTGTTTTTGTTTACTGGATAAGGTAGGCGTCTCTACTTATTACATATAAGTTCGATAAAATAAAATCTAAATACTTAAATCGAGTATAATGCAAACATGGAACAAAAAGAAGGTAACAGACTCGTATGAATGATTGTTTAAAAATTTAGATTAAATTAGAAAGTCATTCTTTACGTTTGAATTAATGACGACTTTCTTATAACTATTCATGTTATTTTTTATACACAAAAAATCGTGAGAATCTATTGCATAACAGTCATTAGTTTATAAGAGCTTATTCATCATTTCCATGTGTATGGGTATAATTATAAACGTAAGTAACATGTTATTTTTTAGTGCGAAGGCAATAAAGCCTTAGTAATATATACTTGTATATTTAGAGAAGATATTTTGATAATTACAACGATTCATTCAACGATTCTGCTGAAAAATTGTTGTAACTATCTTATTTTTTGTGTGTACTTATGTAAGTTGCATTTGTTTCCTAAAAGTCGTACGAAAAACCAATGTTCTTTCTTTACATCCCAAATAATGATTTATTTTCAAGTAGTCCTTGAAATAAGTTACCGCTGAAGTTCGACCGTCTTTATTTTGGCATGCGTCAATTAGCTTTATTTTGGAAGATTTTATCGTATTATGTTCGTAAAATTATTCAAAATTACTCTCGGTATTATTTTGTTCGTGAGTATTTTTTCACTACCTCCAAGTACATAATTTCCAAAATAAAGCGAAGTATTAATTACTAAGTAAACCGAAGGTATAGATAATATACCTTATATCAATACATGCTATTGTCAAATGGTTTAGTTACTTTTTTAATATGCGTTAAATGGCTTATCGCGCCACTACACCGGCATTTCATGTAACAATACCAAATCACTTCACGTTTGACAACGCTGTTTGTGTACCACTGAGATTGATGTAATAAACGTTTCTATTGAAATCACTCAAGCTATTTAGAATCCTCTCACCACTATTATAAATTTACTGTATACCACAGTATTATATAAATAACACAATTTTTCAAAATTCTAAAATGATATATGTGGTATAAAATAATACGTGTACAATTATGATAATCACTAATTATTCAATCCTTACTGAGCTTTTGCCACATTAATTAGTCTTTCATAATTGGCCTTTGCTTTTTGGCGATCCCGTTCTTTTTCTATCCTGATAAAAAATAACTTTCTGCGTTTGAATCTCATTTTAGGTTTGCAGAATTGAAATTTGTGTGTATATAATCTAGTTAGTTTGTTTTTAAAAAATGTATGAAAAAGTTAAGGGTAATAAAAAATGTATCGAAGATATCAAACGATCGTCAGTTATAGTTATCAAAGAGCAAGGTATAACCTTTTCTATGATTTAGATGACCCAGTCAAGACTTTTTTTCTCATTTTGACTCGCTGAATCTTAATTTTTTTTTATCGTCGGGCTGTCAGTTTCATTCTCAACGTGGTTTATTAATTTGTTTGAAATATTTGAAAATATTTCATTATAATACAAGAAACTGACATTTTTTATTCCAACATAATCGTATGATATTACCGTTGGTTACAAGCTAAACTATTTTCCAAGAATACACCATGCAGCGACTTTGATCTTCCTTCATCATATTTGATGGTTGATGACATGTCCCTATTGTTCAATAATCAATTCTCCATTTCGCTTAGTCACTTTGTGCTTATTTGATCTTAATCCTGAAAGATACGTAACTTATCAAGTGTACCTGCGCTATCGATTATGACGTCTGTTAATTTTTGGTTAGTGACATCATCTATTTTAATGTAATATTGAGTCATTAAAGTAACGCGCAAATAGCAAGTTATAAAAATATCTAAAGTATGCACTGTATTTATTGTATATAACGTTTAAAGGCTCATGTTAAACAGTGACAATGAAATTTTTCTTTGTTGGTTTGTGAAGACCGTTGTAATGAAGGTATCGTTATGAAGTTTTCTCGTGTTAAAGTACTCAGTATGAGCTTTAATTTTCTTTATTGCAAGCCTCAAAATCTTTAAAAAAACCACTATTAACATAATTAACATTATTTTTTATACAAATCATTTAAAGAAAATAAGCCCCTTAAAAAGATTTTCATTCACTAGCTTATATTTCTTATCATTTACAATCATATTTAAAATATAAATATATTTGTTTACTCTAAGGGTGCTCTTACATGGGAGCGGAAAGCGGATAGAGCGGCAGTGGACAGCCGATTCGAGCGGACAAAAAGAGAAAGTTTTGTCCGCTGCGTCCCTAGCCGGCGTCTTGCGTGGTGCATCCCACTTCCCCCTCTCCTCTTATTTGTAGCGTCCCTTTCTATTATTCTAAACATGCTATAATTATAATTTTCTCGACAATATTAATTTATATGTCGTATATATGTGTTATATGTACACATGTATATATATATATATAAGAAAATTATAATTATAGCATGTTTAGAATAATAAAACTTTCTCTTTTTGTCCGCTCGAATCGGCTGTCCGCTGCCGCTCTGTCCGCTTTCCGCTCCCATGTAAGAGCAGCCTAATTCGGCATCACCTAGTTATCGACTATAGTGACTCAATGTTTGAATCTCAGTAAAAAGAATAGGATCTTACGTCGAATTATGTTTTGAAAACAAAAATTTATGCAATTATGTAAATATTTATCTGTTAACACCATGAACTTTACATTTAAATTTAAATATTTCTAGAACTTACAAGTTCGCATGTAAAGTGAGTATAATATAGAATAAAAATATATGGATATTTTTAAGAACTGTCTATAAATTCACTAAAAATGATGGGTACTGTAGAATTGTATACCAGACGATCCAATTTAACATATAATTAAAATAACTGCGTTTGCTGAAGTTTCGTAGCTTTACTCTATTTTTTTCGGATACATATTACAATTAAAAAATATAGTTTGAAAAACAAACTATAATAAAACAGTATTCACAATTTTACTAATTTGTTATTTCTTACCTAAATGAATTAACAATAAGGTTGGAAGAATGAAACATACTAATTATAAAAAATGTAATACTGTTTATTACAATAATGCAAATGTTTGATTCAAAGAAATCATTATAAAGAAATTTTCCTAGTTAGAAACAATTGAATTTGTAATTGATTGTACTCAATTGATTCTTTCTAAAAAAACATAAATTTCATTATTATATTAGACATCAATATTACGATTCGAGGAAAATAAAAAGATTATAAATCAAATTAATTCTAAATATCATATGATTGCAAAATTAGAAGTACAAATCGCGCCATTCCTAATGGAATGTATAATAAAATTCGAATAATTGCTAAACATGTCATTAAAAAAACTTCCACTTACATGTATATCACAATATATAACAGTAACTGTATTAATTTGTACTTAATCCGGTATTCTTCGACCCCCACATCCCCATTACATATTTACGAACAATATTTTCATAAAAACGTAATTACAAAAAAAATTCTTCTAACTACTATTGTTATCACTATTCAATTTGCGGTAAAAATTAGTAATAGCAGGAATAAGCAGCTTGCGTCTCTTGGGCATTTTAGAACCAGGTCCAGCTGACCTGCCTATTAGATTTGGCGTCTCATCCTCAGTTTTTCTTTTACATAACTTTGTCAACCAATCGACGCTCTCTCTTAACTTGTGGGGCGAATTCTGCAGCAAATGTGGCGCAGTTCCATCCACGACGAAGTTTGGTAGTCCCGTTGTAGGTGAAAAAGGTGTTGGTATGGAGTTTGAACTATTGCATGGGCTAATTATCGGTTTAAGGATTCTTAGTGGTGAACCCACTGATGGAGGTGGTGGTAGCGGCTCGACTATGTTTTTGTTCTCCTCGAGTGCTATTGGACGACCTCTTAGTTTCTTGTGGACACCTGTTGTTATGAATATATTAATAAATTTTTTTAACTACAGTAAAATGAAAAATGATAAAAGCATATTTACGTTTTATTTTATAGCGCTTTGCACGAACCCCTCTTTCAGGATTGGAATCGTCTTCTGTGTGAGGTTTTACACGCCATATCCTAAAATAAGTGTCATCTGAACACGTAACAATCTAAAACAGCAAGTTATGTTATATTATGATCTCTAGTTATATTACGAATTTGCGAAGGAATTGAATTCAGTAAAATTTTTATTCATAAATATATTTAGTTTTACCTTTGTTTCACCAATGTTACACCATGCATTGCAAGTTACTTCATCGATGTGACCAGGCAGCTTAAGAATAGGCCATCCTGGATTTTTTGTATTCCAGATATAAGCAATCTGATCATTTGATCCACTTATGAGGTATTTTCCATCAGGACTCAAACAAGCTTTCACAAAGAATGATAGATATTCATGCTTAGATCCATGGCCATAGTATTCAGCAACTGGAAATAAAAAATCATGATTAAATTTAGTGTTACATTTGGTTATAAAATATCAGAATCATAAATGAATACCTGGTTCTGGCTCATAAGAACATATATTATACGCATATATTTTCTTGTCTATACAACTGGCATATAATGTGTTCCCACTTGGACAAATATTTAAAGATGTAAAACCATTATGGATGCCTCCATTACCTGTATATTTCATGAAATATTTGGGTAATCGTTCTTTTTTACAAGATCTATAATTTTTCCTGAGATCCCATGCTTTGATTAATCTGCAAATAAATTCAATCAATTCATTGATTATTAAAAACTATAAGCTTGATTCTAATGTGGATAATTAAAAACTGACCCATCTCCAGCAGAACAGGAAAACAAAGTATAATCATCTTGGAAAGCAAGAGCAGTGACACTCATAGGACAACTATTTTTACATTTGTTAGAGCGAGATGGTGATTTACAAGACAGTTGACCAGCAGTTGTTACTTCATGTGCATTTGTTATTGAATTATCTGGCTTGGGCAAACCACTGTGACTTGCTCTTGTGTCCCAAATTAAAACTGATGCATCTCTACCACCAGTGGCAAAAACAGCTGTAAAAAATTTTTTAATACTTTGCTGTCAAATGTTATAAAATTAATTTCTAGACGGTTATTTATAATTCAGATATACCTTTGTCTTGATTACGAAATGCTATTGTTTTTACAGATGATGTGTGTCCACAAAATTCTTGTATTGGTGTATAATCAGAGGAAACATCCCATAGTTTGGCTGAACGATCTCCTGATGCTGTAATTAATTTTGATTCTTGAGGCATCCAGTCGATATCAAAAATAGCATTGCAATGAGCCTGAAAGTCATATCGGTTTACAGTTTATTTATCACTTTAATTTTCATAAAGATCTTACATATATATATATACGTTCATATAGAATTTAACACTTACTCTAAATCCTTTCAAAGGAGACTTTTCTTCGTAATTTATATTAGTATTATGTAAAGCAAGCATGCCAACTTCATTGGCAAGAGCAATTACTTGTTCATATCCTGGTGCAGAGGAAAACTTACAAGCAAAAATAGGAGGATATGGATAATAATCTTCAGAATCGAAGGAACCCTCAACACCAGGATATTCATCGTTATTCATGCATTTCAAATGTTGCAGCTGGACATCATAGTCGTACAAATCTAAAAACCAATTGAATAATTTGTAATTTTCATTTATGTTAAAAAGTGCGTATTACAGTTTGTTAGCTCGATAAAGAAAGCTAATAAACCTCGAAGATATAGAACTGACAGCTCTATTAATTACTTACTCAATAAGCCTCTTTCCCGTTTGGCAATCGATTGTATGATATTCATTGTATTTCTCGCAGCAATTATTTATTTTATTTATTATTTTGCTGAGCACAACTAATTACTTACAACTTGCTGCACGATAGTTGTGGATGCTCGCAATTCACGCGGGAAAGGCTAGAAAAGAACAAATATCTATAAGCACTAGACGACCAAACGGATAGTAAATTCACATGTAACGTACTAACATGTACGTCACGTATTTTATAAGTCACCATACGTAATCACGAGGTAGAAGACCCAGTAAGTTTGATACTCATATCGCGCCGGATTTAAACACATGTCATATAAGTAAGCATAAGATATTTGATGTTTTTAGTTATACTGTTAAGCTATAAAATAAATGATCACTTGAGAAAAGGGAAAGCTCAAATTAGATCATGCACTGCACATCTGTAGTTAAGGGTTGCAGAGGGGTCAACATGATTCGAGAGCCACACGTGTACACATGGATATAATGTTTTCACGAGTTTTATAGTATATTATAAGTGCGGGAAAGTAGATTCTTGTCTCGTGTGGCGTTTACAATTGAGCGAAGCGAGGGTGGAAAAGTACACGAGACGTGAAACTTTTTCCCGAACATGTGCCGTACCGTATTTTTTGATACGACGTGTGGAAAGTGCGATTTTCAACGCACGTTTTTTGCCGAGCGTGCGGGAAAAACGCACTTTCCACACGTCGTATCAAAAAATACGGTACGGCACATGTTCGGGAAAAAGTTTCACGTCTCGTGTACTTTTCCACCCTCGCTTCGCTCAATTGTAAACGCCACACGAGACAAGAATCTACTTTCCCGCACTTATAATATACTATAAAACTCATGAAAACATTATATCCATCCGAAATAATACATTAATAGTACATTAAAATTAAATTAAAAAACTATTTCCAGGAGTTGGGGAAAACCCAGTAAAACAATAGGTCATTATAGCCTCTCGGATTCTGGACAACTTTCTCTTTATGACCAAACGTCAGACGCCAGATGCTAAACGTCAGACGGCAGACGCTAGACGCTGGACGCTAGATGCTGGACGCTGGACGCTAGACGCTACACGCTACACACTAGATGCTAGACGCTAGACGCCGCGGACCCAAGCGATCCCCTCTCTAGACTCAGTAAGGAAGTGGAGGGAGACTCAGCAAAGAAGTGAAGAGACAAACTCTGCGACAGTCAGTCAGAGACAAGCTCTCACGAGGGCAAGTCACCTCCTTAAGTTAACAAGACAAACCGCTACTCTTTCTAAGTTTGAATCCAGCTCGAGTCTCGCGCCATTTCCTGAGGTAATATACACACATTTTTCTAACGCCAACTCTACGAAGCAGCAAGTGGGATATTTCAATATTATCGAGTGTCACGTCTGTTAATTTTACGTATGCAATGCCATAGTGACGGCGTTGTGGCGCGCGCAAAAATAAAAAGAGAGCGACAATCAATCAGCTGACAGACGGGGCAACTCAAGTTTGTTTCGAGTCGTGAGAGGAAAAATCAGTTTTGACGTTTCCTCCTCTTCATGATAAGCTGTCACAATTCGAAAATACTCATGGCCCCGAAAATGGTATCGCGATTTTAGTGTAGTGCAATAACTAAACTCTTCATAAAAATTCAATCAAACTTGCGAGATTTTTGTATAAACATTTTTAAAAAGAATCCTTGGTACATTCGGTAGAAAGAAAAGTTGTGACAATTACGAAGAGGAGGAGAAACGGTGAACTGTTTATTTTTCTAGTGAAAGAGCTGCTGCATATTACGCGCCGACAAAGGAACAAAGAACAGCAGAAATATTTTGGGATAAAGAAGGGTTATGTCCGCAACTGCAGCTACTTTGACTAAATTCGGTGCTTCTCCCGACACTGAGAGCACACTCTGCAGGATGTCGCGAGCCGATCTGAAAAATTGGCCGATTTTTAGTCTACTCGAGCCTAGGTTCATAGCCAAAATTCATATGGCTGTGGTTTACGGTACGTATATACATCGTATACTTTATTTTATCATCACTAACGTTTCTATATAATTTATTTTTCTGTCACGTTCACGTGAATGATAAATAAAATGTTAATTTTGTAAGAAAAAAACATGCGTATCAACGGCGCGTTTATTTGAGAGGCGATAAGATTAGACACTTTTTTTTACTGTTTTGTCTACGTATAAATAATATTTATTATGTTTACTGGCAACATTGCTTCAGTAAAAGATGAAATATTTAGTTTTTATAAGTAAGTCATTTTGCAAAAAAAATTTTACCAAGAATGCATGTTAGCTTGTATTTTTAACAACCTTTCTGTTCTGACTAGTGCAGTCTCACAGATTTGTTTGTTTCTCTCTTTGTTGCAACAAAAATAATCTTTTTGTGGATAAGAACATAATAGTTTATTTTTATGGCCAGAATGTAATTCACTGCTGTTAATTCCTATTATAAAAGCAACTAAATTTGATAATTTTTATTACTGTTCAACAGGTAATTTAGGAAATGAGGCCTTAATTGTTTTAAAAGATGGAGACGTTTACGCATTAGGAAGCAATACCGGTGGTTGTCTTGGAATTGGAGATTCACATAGTACATTGCATCCTAAAAAAGTGGAAGCTCTTTGTGGTAAAGGAATAACCACATTTGCTTATGGAAGTGGGCCACATGTTCTTGCCTTAACAGATAAAGGAGAGGTGTGTAATTTATTTGACTTTGGTTCTGTAGACTTGATTGACCTTTAGGATTTTGTTAATTTATTGGTGATTTTTATTGTAGGTATACTCTTGGGGTCACAATGGTTATTGTGAATTGGGTAATGGTTCTACAAATCAGGGATTGTCACCAGCCCTTGTGTTAAATCTCAATGATAAAATTATCACTGCAATAGCTTGTGGTAGTCATCACTCAGTTGCTCTCACAGAAGAAGGAGAGGTAAGAAATTTATAAATTTAGTCTTGAAATCATTAATTTATAATTTATATTTTTTTATTGATAGGTTTATTCTTGGGGTCAAAATAATTGTGGTCAAGTATGCAGTGGAGTGAGTTCAAATCAAGGGGCCCCTCGTAAAGTGAATTCAACCTTGACTGGAAAAGTAATCGCGTCCATTTCATGTGGTCAAACATCAACTATGGCTGTGACTGATATAGGAGAAGTTTATGGTTGGGGATACAATGGAGTTGGACAATTAGGCATAGGAAATTATGCCAATCAAATGACTCCCTGCAAAGTTACAGGCTTGACTGGAACAGTAATAGGTAGGTTTTTCATAAAATGCACATTTTTGGACGTTTTGTTTCTTATTTATTTTTATTTTATAGAAAAGGTAGCTTGTGGTTATGCTCATACACTTGCACTAAGTGATGAAGGGATACTGTATGTCTGGGGAGGTAATGGTTTTGGACAACTTGGCTTAGGTAACAAAGCGAATGTTTGCACTCCTACAAAAGTAAGTTTATACAAATATTCAAGACACTATTAAATAACAATATTTTTAGAACATTCGTTTAGAAATAATTTGATTTTTAGTTAAATGTACCAGAGATGGGTAGAGTATCAAATATTGCGACACTACACTACAACCATATAAGTGTAGCAATGGGTCAAGGTGGTAAAATATTTATGTGGGGTCAATGCCGAGGTCAAAGTGTCATTACTCCAATGGCAACTCCTTTGCCGCACATACATGACGCTCTTGCTTGCTATGCTACTCCAAGTGTCATGCATGAACCGTTAATTCTTCATGCAGAAGAAGAAGTTGGTATTATTGAGAGTTTGAAGAATTCATTTGATGATCCCGTATGTAAAATAATTCTATCTAAATTAAGTTTTTAAATGTAAGGATAAAAAGAATTTTTTTTTTCAGACTACAAGTGACTTGACAATTCAAGTGGAAGGAAAACCAATTTATGTACATAAATCTATTTTAAAAATCCGATGCCAGTATTTCAGATCGATGTTTCAAGATCATTGGGCAGAAAATAATAGAGAGTAAAGTATTTCTTTATCCTTTGAGATTCAAATATATTGTTATTATATATATGAATATATTTTATCTTAGATACGTTTTATCGTGACTCTTGATGGTTCGGATTCTTGAACTGTAGGTCTAGTCGTGATGCATGTAAAAATTCTCCTTTCACAACCTTCTAAAAGTGATGAGGAGTTTGGTTGCATGCCATGCATGACTGTAGAGAACCAAGACTAATGCATACAAATTAGTAGTGTAACTCTACAGTGTGCAATATGAACGTAGTTCTTGAATTTACAATAATAATAATAATAATAATAATAATAATAATAATAATAATAATAATAATAATAATAATAATAATAATAATAATAATAATAATAATAATAATAATAATAATAATAATAATAATAATAATAATAATAATAATAATCTTTGCCTTTCTAGTGTGATAGAGCACAGTCAATTTTCCTACGAAGTTTACAAGTCATTTCTGAAATATTTATATACCGACGAAGTAGATTTGCCACCAGAAAATGCTTTAGGTAAAATTTTACGTTCGATTTAAGTATTTATAAACGTAATGCTCAATGTTTATAATTACTCATGCTGTTTTGTTTTCAGAACTCTTATACTTAGCAAATGCTTATTTTGAACTACAACTGAAGCGACGTTGTGTACAAATGATCAAACAGGGCCTTACTGTTACAAACGTAGCATTTCTTTACAGTACTGCTATTGAATACAACACTAAAGTAAGTTGCAATTACTTTTACTTCTTCGATAATCTAAGGAAAACTCAAATTTTATTAAATAATTTTCAGGAACTAGAAGATTTTTGCTTTAAATTTGCTTTAAATCACATGACATCGGTAATCCAAACACCAAATTTTGCTAAATTAGATGAATCGACTGTGAAAACTTTTATAATAAAAGCGGCGCAAATGGGAGCTTTCAAGACTTAGGGAGACACATCAAACCAGACAGATTTCGCAAATATAATTTTCAAATCTTGGACTAGGTTAAGCTTCAAACGAGTGTACATAAAGTTTGCATTTGATATAGTTAGAGAGACTATTCTCGTAATATAATTAATTGTGGAAAATAAATTTTTTACAAAGTAAATGTCAGTTGAAACTGATAAATAGTTTACATATGTGAATATTTGTTACTTTGAATGTTAATGTGACTGGTAACTATGCTGTTTATAAGATTTTGTGATATGTAAGCAGTGATAATGTAACTCTTCATTTCCAAAAATTTTTGAACTACACGTATGCGTAGATTAAAAGATTAGCTTTGTTTCAAAGATATTAAGTACTATATTTATATTTGTTACGATAAATTACTCACCTTTTCTTACAAATTCCTATTGGAAAAATATTCAATCATTTTAAACCAAAATGATAACCATAAAAAGAAATTAAGTAATTTATTTGTTATGTTTAAATGAAGAAGTTTTGTAATTAAACTAATATAAATTTTTCACAAGTATGAAATAGCGGGATATGGCATTTAACTTTATATTTTAAGTTAATAATTTTAAACTTTAGTAATACTTTGTTTTCTTAAATTGTTTTAATATACAATAAGTATTATATCTCGTGAGTAATACAGTTGATGGTACATCAATACCCTACAGCAGATTATAGGTATTTCTATAAACATTCGTGTAATACACGTTTCACTGATCCATCAAATTTTCAAATGTAATCTCGACTGTGACGAGCTTATTTTAGTTACTATTTATAGTTATAATCTCAACGTTTATTCCATTAAAGCTCTTATATAAGGGTGCGTGTTTTTATACTTAATTTGTTGTTTGTTTTCTTTTTCTACTTGCCAAATAAAAAATTTAAAACTATGTAAAACCATGCCTTTGATTTACACTTCACTGTAACAATACCAGTAAATTCCAATTAGAGAATTTAGTTCAAATACGTAAGATCATTAATATAACTGGATAAATAAAAGATCAAAACAATTTTATTTGGTACATCAGTTTTATTACGATATATTATATACAAGCAGTAAATTTCGTTTTTGTCTTTTGTCATCGTACGACGTATACGTCATCTACCGTATATTGTTCTTTTTTCTCATTTTTGTATAATTAGCGATAATTAAATACTCAGCTTACATCATTGATAATTCTCTCGGGCTTTTTGCACACATTTTTTTTATTATAATATTAATACCTCCACGAAAAAACAAAAAAAACCATTTTTCTCACGTGCCATTAAATACGTTTATCTTTTTTTATTCGTTTCATCAGTTTTTTATATCTTATTTTCAGTTTTTTCTTTAGTAGTAACAAAAAGCTTCGTTAAAAAAATAAAAAAACAGCTAAAGTTACTTGTAGAGTTGTCACTCTGCATAATACAGGGGCGCCGCGAGTACGTGTATAGTGTATATAGGTGTATAGGTATGTTTGTGTAGATAAGTGAGACTGCAATGCGCTTTTTTCGTTTTTTATTCGCTCTCGAGACAGAAGGAAAAGCACGCCGCATGGTCATCGTTATTCATTTATTTTAGAGTAAAAAATCAATGTGAGGAATCGATATCTTTATTTATTCTTTCTAAAAAAAACGAGGCGTGCTTTTCGATCCAAAAGCTCGCCAGGACCGCAAGAAGTGATGTTAATCTTTCTTCTTTTTCATTTTCTTTTTCTTTTTTAATAATTTTCCTTCTCGTCCGCCATCACCGACTAATCAGCTATGATAATTAATTAAATTTAATTGATTAGAGCGTATTTAGGCCTGCGGGCTACTTTTTTTTATTTTCGGGAATCTGCGAGTCCCGGCGATCAAGTGTACATGTGAAAACTCTCACTCTTATACATTTACAAGACAGAATAAAGGTAGAAACGAGAAGAGAACAAAAAATGAAAACAAAAAATTACTGTGTCGATACTCATCACCTCCATCTTCATTTTAATCGTTTTAATTTTAACGATCCTTGCGATATTATATATATTTTTTTGTTCGCTAATCAACATATATATCGGAACATCTTTTGATATCAATCTATATGTATATGTACATATAAAACCTCGTGTTTACAATATACTCTTTTTTTTAATAAGAGAGAGAGATTATGCAAAACAAATCATATGTATAGAACACTTTTGCTCACAAAAAATCGATGATAGGCGTATGCCTGTGTGCGTATACAAAGTTTGAACTTTATACAGACACAGGACGATTACGTTTGCCTTACAATGTGCTGATATTAGAACAGTGATACGCGCGCTTGATTTACTTTTTTTATAATGCTATGCTCAGCCTATCGAAACATTTACAATCGTTATGCAATCAAAGAACCAACGAAACATCACATTATTTATGTTCGTCTAAAATAACAGGTAAATCATAGTAAATTTTATGAAAAAACAAAACGGAAAACAGAACAACGTATTCATATGCTAGGATCATTCGCTTGTTTTGCCCACGAGTATATAATTCACTACAATAACAGACCATCATTTTATAACACAATTTATTCAATATAGCATATATAAAATCACCTAAGTACAACATTAAACTCTTTCAACTCAACCTTTGACTTGTTCTTTTTTTGTATTATTTTGTTAATATCTTTTTTCTTTATTATCTACGTACGATGCAAAAACAACGAATAGAATATATATCGCAGAGGATCGTTGCGACGAATAATAGCATCATTATATATATATTTGCCTGTATAACATTTTTTTTATTTCACTTCGTAGTCTGACGATTGTGTGTGTGTGTTTTGTTTTGCGCGTGTAATGCATTTTTGCCTTCTTATTTTATTTTATTTTTTTTATTAAATCTATGGAGACTTGATTTTTGTTTGTTGCACACGTATTTGACCAAATGCTCTCGAAGTTGTATTTATGTGTGTTGTTTTAAAGCATCAGTATACAACCTTGTTTCTTTATTATTTATCGATTTAGAGTCTCTTTTTTTGGACTTTATCGAATTAATTGGGATTGTTCATATTTTTTCCATCTCTATTTGCCCATTTACCGTCATGTACGCTCGATCGAACAGCGTTGTTTATTTATTTTTCCCGTCGTTCGCTCGTTTCTTTTCGACGACTTTTCGCAGGATGCCTCGATCGACGAGCGAAAAAGAAAATGAACAGAGGTTTGCAGGAGGTGTATATATATTTATATATATTAGAAGACAGGTAATATCTACCCGCGTGGCCGCACGAGGATAAAACGCGCCATGCCGAAAAATCGATAAGAGCTCTCTCTCTCTCTCTCTCTCTCTCTCTCTCTCTCTCTCTCTCTCTCTCTCTCTCTCTCTTCGTCTGCGCGTTATTCTTTTATACAAGGTGAGGCATTTTTTTCGGATCATGCGAGTTTTATTTAGTTGGTAATTGATTCCCACAATACATACGTCTTCGTAACAAACAAACAGTTATTTGTATTAGCAAAGAAAGGTGTGTGAAGAAAAATTTGTCTCGATTCCAAACATAGAAAATGCATAAGCGTAAGTGTATAGAAACTTCGAGAAATCACGAAAAAATCCATATCCGAGCTCTAGTTGTATAAGCGCATTGAAAGAAAGCGGAAATTGTAGGCTCAAACATTTGCTAAGGAAAATGTTAAGAGCTCTTTAGCTCAATTCTTCCCTCTCTCCCGACGTAGAAAATCAAATAGAAAGGCGGAGCGCGGATGAAAATATTTTTCCGACCAAACTTGAAAGGGTCGATTTCATTTTCCACGAGTAGATCGGTCACTATCTTTTCTTCCTCCTTTTTCTTTTTAAAAAGAATAAAAAGAAAAATCGACGTCTTACATGCTGGCGAAAGCATCTTTTACGGCTCAACATCGCGTTTTAATGAGCAACGCTCGGTTTCGGAAATGATGCCTGTGAGACGAACGATCATCAGACGAGAGAAAAGAAATCATTTACGAACGAATACTTTCAATTACAGTCTCTGTATAGAAGAGAAGAAACCTAACGATGTCGTTAGCTATATATATTTATCATACAATTTGGTCGTTATTACTTGGGCGATATAACGAGTTGATGGGGGAGAAAGGAAAATCTTTGGAGCTAAGCCAAGGGAGTACAAACAATGATGAGAGAGAGAGAGAGAGAGAAAGAGCGACCTGCCAAGTTTTCTGCCAAAAGTCGTCGAGTTCGTTAGCGCTGAAAGCCTCGCACTTCTTTATTTTCTTCGTCGTAGTCTTTTTTTATCCTTTTTCTTTTCTTTTACTTTTTTGTTGCTGGCGGAGAGGACCCTTTTTATATGCCTAATATATATGTATAATAATATATATAATGTATATAATATATAATATAGATTTATATATATACAGGGTGGCCCATTTTAAGTGATCCACTCAGATATCTAGATTGGAGTGAATTTTATCGAAAAAAGTTTCAGACAAAAGTTACTCAACTTTGAGGGGGCCATGTTTCTATGACCTTGGATTTGACCTTGGAGGTCATGTTCAAGGTCATTTCAAGGTCAACTTTGTTTTTTTTAAATAGGAACCCCCATTTTTGACCCCGGATTCGGAAAGAGCGGGAAATTTTACGTCCAAAACGGTATTTTTAAATTTTTTTTCATGGCCTAGAGAAGGTCGATTTAAGGTCAAATGCTTGAAAAACTGCCTAAAAGCGTTTTTTTAATTTTTAAGATATCGAAAAATGACCTCTACAAAATTTGTTCAGAATAGAGTGGGCCACCCAATGCACCAAAAACCTTTGACCTTTAACCTCATTTTGAAGGTCATTTCAAGGTCGAAGTGTTTTTTGTAATGGAAACCCCTCTTTTTGACCCCGGATTCGCACATAGCGCGAAACTCAACACAATACCTTATCCAAACGTCGGATTTGAATCGACCTTCTCTAGGCCATGAAAAAAAATTTAAAAATACCGTTTTGGACGTAAAATTTCCCGCTCTTTCCGAATCCGGGGTCAAAAATGGGGGTTCCTATTTAAAAAAACAAAGTTGACCTTGAAATGACCTTGAACATGACCTCCAAGGTCAAATCCAAGGTCATAGAAACATGGCCCCCTCAAAGTTGAGTAACTTTTGTCTGAAACTTTTTTCGATAAAACTCACTCCAATCTAGATATCTGAGTGGATCACTTAAAATGGGCCACCCTGTATATATATATATATTTATATAATAATTAGCTTAATAATCACTTAAACTATAATTAATGTAATCAATTTTTTTCGCTTTATCTTTTCGTCACCACCCCTGTGTGTCATATCGTATTCTTCGATCAATTGTTTTTTCGATATTTATATGCCAATAAATGTTGTTCTTTCCTCAATACTTAATAATACTTGTTTTCCTTTAATCTGTCTCATCTTTTTAATAAATATAACAGTGTGACAAAGTGTTTATTATGTACAAACACAGTAGACTCATGAAATTTTGTTGTCCTTTTTTTTTCTTTGCTCTCTGGCTCTCTCTCTCTCCCCTCTGTATACTATACACTCTACATACTTAAAAGTAAGCTTGCGCGTTTACTTATATACGTATTCACTTTTATCTTTCACTTTGAGTTATTTATAGTTACGATAGTTCATAATATGTATATGCTTTATACACTGGAGGAGAATGGCTTCATTTTTTGTTGTTTTAGATGGAAACAATAAAAACGTCCCTTACGTAGAATATCTCGTGTTCTTATATTCGTATAATATGCTTGATTACTTTTTTCTTCTTTAATAATAAAAACGCTTCTGTCGCGAGGAAGAAGATATCCGACAGAAGTTTATTTCGTGTCTTTCTTTACTTTAATTCTCTTACGTATTCTCTATATGTAGAAGCACATTATTAGCACAAAAAAACAAATGTTCTCTCGCTCTCATTTGCGCGCGACACTCACACAACGACGACATTCTCTTTATCTTTTCTCTTGTTTGCTTATTGAAAAGAAAAGCAAGTAAAATCTTAGCTAATATAAAATAGTAGGAATATACTTTCGAGTTCTCTTTGATATAAGTTTGTTGCATAATGAGGATGGGGGGATTAAAAAGTTTTGTTTTATACGACTATTCGAGTTACAATACTTGTTTTACTTGCTTTGTTTATTATTTTTAATACTTTTTTATATTGTTCTTCGCCAACCATCGACAACAGTGCTCAACGAAAGAGTACAACGAGTTTCGAGCTTCAACGTTATCATATAGTTATTGCTGCTCGAGACTAGGCCTTTCTCTGTATCGCCGACCAACATTAAATTCTATCAGCTTGAATAATTGTCATTACAGAATTGTTAGCCTATTCAGTTTTATTTACAAAAAATTAAATGTATTTTGCTGTTTAACGACCATCTGTCGGGTTTTCATTCAATTTACGTGGCAAATCGTTTGTTTTACGTATCCTCACGGAATACGCGAAGAGAAGGAAATTATGAACCAATATCTGCGTCAGAGTTTATTGTTATTTATTTATTTATTTATTTTTTTTCATTTTCTTTTTTTGTCTTCTTCGGCTAAATCCCATTTAGGAAGTATGAAAAACTGCGTTTATGAGATTATCACAATTATCATTTAATTAACATACCTGATTGTATTGATTTTATCTTTGATAAAATTGGACGTAACAAGTGTATAATAATAGTAAGTTTAACTTACTATTCCTTATGATAACATCGTTACTCATTATAAATTCTCTTTAAGGTCGCATCACATGTATATTATTATTCTGATACTTTTACAAAGCAATTATGTCAGATGACTTCTTATATATCATTCTTTTTTTTTCTATTCCTCGTCGGATTTTCGTTAGCGTGAACATCCTCTCAGGTCTGTTTTTTAATATCACGGTGCAGAAAGAAACGGAAGAAAAACGAGGATGTAGGTCAACTATCGTAACAATGTAAAAGAGTACGAGTATATTAACGCCGCTTTGTTTGTTGCCCCCGCACGCGCATGTAAATCAGCATTACAACGAACGAAAAGAACGTCGACGATAATTAGCGAGTCCCTCGCTTTTTCGTGCTCTTGCACGCGCCCGAGCGAAGAGTGTTAATTAGCGTTTTTTTGTCCGCATCTGCAATTCAATCAGGCGCGTAATTAGCCCTCCCGCGGAGCGTTACATTAGCGCTCTCGTATCTACCAAAAGATTCTTTCGAATGTAAGTCTCTTGCTAATTATCGGCCGTCGACGGAAAAAAAGGAAAAAATTAATGCTTTGCTATTCGACTGCCGAAAAAACGATGCTGACCGATTTATTCATGCGTGTATGTGTGTGTGTATTCACGGATTACATACTCTTATCCGGGCCAAATACGATCGTATAGGCCATTAACGCAACGCTAATTGCAGTAGAATGTGCTTCGCAACCACTGTTTTTCGATTGTGAGTGTATGCACGTTACTTTTTTCGAGTTAGGCGAGTTTCAGTGAAATGGGTCAATGTTCAGTCAGACGTTGTTTTCTGCATCAATGGAAACCTCAGCGCGATTTGATATGTATCGTATTTCGTCGAGTGGCTGAATATTTCTTTTCGGATTAATTCGTAAATACAACGAAGAAATGAAATACGAGGAGGGTTGAATCATTTTCGGCGATATTTTTACATTCTTCTTCGGCGTTAACCTCAATTATCAAACGAGCGAAATTGAATCGTCGTTCATTCGATTGAACTTCATCTCCAATTAAATATTTCATGGAAAAACAAGGAGAATCTTTTTCAAAGCCATCGATTTTCAATTAATGCATGAAAATAGAATCTCGATTACCGCGGAGATGAGCAGCAGAGAAATAATAACCCCAATGCTCGTACAATCTTGGTGCTTGTTTTCGTGTATATATATAAATATAGGCGTTGCGTATCATTCGTTGCTGTCACTTGGTGCCTACGTAAATATGCGTGGAGCATTTCGACGAAAGAGCAGACAGTTGTTCTTTCGCGATTATCCACAGCATGAAGTGAAACGACGCTCGATTCACACGCGCACACATGCAAACCAAAAGAAGTTGAAGAGAGACGTTCGGAAGCACTTTTAAACTGCGACCCGAAATATTAGTGTGGCAGCTGTTCTGCTAACGAAACGCAAGCGATTATTTTTTTTTTTTATGTTATCTAACGACACATACAAATCTCGTGATACTTGTATATAATAATAATAGTACTCGTTAGATGTGTATAGATGTCACGAACAATGGTCACTCACTCGTACAAAAAATTTCTCGTAACGTCGGAAGTACCCTCGTGTGACGATATACATATATAATGCGAGTACATATGCATATATCCTAGACACGAGTATAGTAGAAAAAGCACGTCGAAAAAACGGATAGGAAGAGTCCTCATAGTCATAATAATAGAAAGGACTTGTGTATGTGTGTGCGTGTGTGTGTGCGTGTGCGTGTGTGTGTGTAGGTGTGTGTGTGTGTTTGATCGTGAGAGAGAAAAGAAAACAGAAGATGTTTCGTCCCTAGAACGCGGAGGAGAGAAGAGGAAGAAGCGTGCTGCTGCTGATATGTCAGTGTTGCTGCTGTTGCTGTCCGGCGATGGTCGATTGGCTGGTAATGGCTGTCGTTGCGGGGGCCGCGAGCTAGACAGGCCCGTTAGCTTGAGGCCATAGCTGCGAGGAACTTGATAATGCCCGTAGACCAATGGTTACCAGTGACAGCAGCATCAAACACGCACCACGTGTGTCCAGCACTACACTTGGCCGTGAACCGCTGCAGGTCTCCTTTGACTGATCCAGCTTTGCTGTGGACATTAAAAACATAACAACGCCCGACCGTTACTTCTTTTATTTTTTCACTAAATTTCATGCATTGGGAATTAATACGATTGCTCTCATCCACATCAACATTAATTTCTAGTCAAATTTAAATTTTTTAAATATAGGATTTTTGATTCTCTGCACCGGTTTTCCAAATATCATCACTTATTCTACTTGACAGTCCAAAAGTTTTGAGGATCATCCAACTTGGTTAGCATATTTTTTCCCTACATTTTCAGTATGTAAGCTGGCTTAGCTCTTTTTCATGATAAATGTTAAACTTCAAACAAATTTCAAAAGCTTAGGTTAATAAAGAGAAAATTGAAAATTTTGACTAGAAACCCATGCAAACAAATTTCCAAAATTTTGTTAGTTGAACCTATCTGATTGAATGAGCTTTAATATAGATAGTTTTTATAGGTAAGTTCTTAAGCAGAATTAATTGATCCAGTTGATTTATAGGTCGAAACAAGTAAATCCTTGTGATTCTTTTGATAATTTAGCTCCTTACAATCTTTAATTAAGGTCAATTGGTTTCCATCGAAGTAGTGCATCACGCAACAGGAATGGAAAAGTTTTATTTAAAAAAGTCTTTCAGGCCTTTCAGGAAAAGCTTTAGCCGAAAACAGTTTTCTTTATCCATCCCGATGATCCCAGCGTCTGACAAAAAAGAAATCCGACCATCGTGAATTGAATGTGAAGCTCTGTATAAATCAGTCGAAGCATGATAAACGGCAAAAGCTATAGACGATAGCATCTAAGCGAGCGAGCCTCCAAGGGTGCTCTCGCGCGCGCGTTATGAAAGCGACAAGGGAGGACAGAATCATTCGTATTCTCTCGGTCGCGCGAATGTCTACGCCTGCGAGCCATTCATTTGCGAATTCCCTCTTTTTGCGATCTTTCCATTTGCGATCTTTAGCCGTCGGCTCTGCGCTCATCGCTCGGGAAAGAAGAGCTCGTCGGCGAAGGCCCCGATACGAGCTATGAAAATCCTCTCCCCGCTTTGAATATTCATCAGTTTGCCTTTCCTTCCGAGCCGCCGAACTTTTCCACTCTGCTCGCTGTGGCTTTCATTAACGTCCACGCTCGCGTCCCGCGAAAAGTTAGATGTACCGCGCGCGAAGGCTAAACAAGTGTTTCCTAGCTAATAACCAATTGCGATCTCGCGCTGTCGACGGGCTTATGACTTTTCGACCAAAGTTGTCGACGAGCGCGGCTTGTTATTATGCAAAGCGCGGTTTAACGCCGGTGACGACAGCGTGAATTATACGCCACGCTCTGCTTTGGATTTTGATGCTTTGGTAGCCTGTTTTCTGGCTGCTGAATTTTCGCTGTGTGCACTTCATGCTACGATTTTCCCATACGCAGTAGTTTTCCAAATAAGCGTCACCTCAATAAAGCTCATTTTCCACTGAGTGCAATTCGTTCGATTGCGAAATCCGACGTGACTTGTATTTGTGAAACGGTCGTGGCAAGGAAACAACTAACTCTTCAATCGTTCACGCCAGCGAAATGAAAAGAACTGGCAAAGCAAGCGCAAGTAGCGCAGGTCTACGATTGTCCCGGCGCATAGTTCAAAGAGATAGCAGTAGTAGCAGCTGCTGCTGCGTGCGTGAAAGCGGCGGAGGGGGTGGGAGTCTGCAGTTTGCCGCAGCGGTCGTGAATTATCGAGATCCGGGGCGTTTGGCCTCGGCTAAAGCTACACTACCTTCGCCGATAAAACAGCGCAACACACACACACGCGCGCGCAGGTGTCGCACGAAACAACCACCCGGAATCACGATAAAGCGACGCTTGCCTTTTCTTTCAGTGCCGCTATGTGCGTCTGTGTAGGCTTGCTTTTGCGTACAAGTTCTTTATTATTGCTTTTGTTACGGCGCAAGTCGTTTAGTGTTGGCTGTAAAAAAAAGAATAATTTATTCATTCGTTCGCGTTATTTCAGAGCTTTAGAATACTTGCGAGCGGAAAAGAACATGGCTCGATGAAGATAATCATAGAAGCTTGAAATAATTCAAAAAATGTGCAAGGGTACGGCTTCAATAATCCAGTTCAATACTTGCCCGTCGCGAAGTTCAGAAGAGATGCGAGAAATTGCTGGATATTCAATAAAGTTTCTTTGTCAATATGAACATAAGGCACGAAGGAAGAGAAAAAGGACCCTTCGGGACGAGATAATAAAAGGTCGCACAATGATCTTTGGCCGATTCCAAGAGCGCATATATGTTTTTCTTATAATTCGCGCAGCCCTCGTCTTCGATTTATGGCACGTCGTCCATTACGTCACTCCTTATTACATTTGCCACGCGCGTGAGTGTATGCGGGCCGTCGATAATAATACCAACTTATCTGCTTTTTCTTTCCCTCGGCCGTGAAAAAAAACATTGGCTTCGTCTGAATTACGTTGCTGTATTGTTTCTGCTAAAGCATAAGACGAGTTTTAGATTACGATGCTTGTGTGCGTGTGTAGCAGGTTAGTTATTCATTTGTTTTTGCATTTATTTCAAATTATTTTAACTAAATTGTCTGATTAATTCCAGTACTGTTGGATAACAGAAGTAAATAATGAAGTGGATGTAGTCGTAGAGGACTTTTCTATAATTGTATTTACTGGTATGTAATTGTGTGTGTGTGTGTGTGTGTGTGTGTGTGTGTGTGTGTGTGTGTGTGTGTGTGTGTGTGTGTGTGTGTGTGTGTGTATTAAATTTTTCAATTTAAAAATCTGTTTTTAAAAATAAGGAGGTGTCTTTTTAAATTAACTCGTAGAGCGCGTTAGTATAGTTTTTCGATTAATCGAAAATTCGATAAACATTAAAGTATTCACTCGGCGAATATTTAATGTACAGGAAGACTAACCAACGAAAATTCTTTTGAAATGAAATAGTTTTTCATACGAATATAAAATTTACCATATAATTACAAATTCAATAAGCTAAAATGGTTCATTGGTTATGCCGTCGTCAATGACATAAGACATGTTTGTTTTGAGAACGCAGTAAATTTAAGAAATATTTTATAGCTGATGAATATTTAACGAAAAATCGTTTTTAAATAATGTTCCACTGAATCAGATTTCTTGTCTTCATCTCCAAGCATTAGCCAAAGGAAAGCATCATCAGAGGCATAAGATCAAAAGACAAAAGTTAAAATGGGTAAAGAAAAAGAGGAGAAAAAAAGAGAAGGAGGCATTACGAGTTTGGTGGGGATCGATGCACGATGTTGGATAGTACCGGTGAGCTACACGTGCTAAGGAAGACGTATTGCCAAGTGCAAGGGACGGATGGACTGTCTGCTCCAGAAAAACAGCGGGCTTACGAATAAATAGTGCATCTAGACGCGACGCTTTGAAATTATGATGCACTCCGATCCAACCTCTTTTCTTTCTTGTCTTTTCATTTTCGTCGTTTTCCTCTTCTCACAGCTTCTACTTTTGCGACGTGATTAGTTGCGATTATTTTTAACTTATGATTCAAATTTTACGTCGCACTTCGCAGGATTGATTCTGAATATAATTACCACAGCAGTCAGAGTGTAAGAATGTCTCGTATATTAATTTTCTAATTGCTCTTAATTCAACTTGTTCTACATTTGCATTATGATCCTTTTCTTTTTATCGTTCGATTCCTACTACGTATAATTAACTTGCTAAGTAAGTTAGTAAGTTCGATCGAACAAATTAATTTTCAAGTATAAAAAAATTTGTTGAGAAGGAAAGCTTAAAGATAAAAGTGAGAGCTCTATGAAAAGTAAAAAATAATTTTTTTTACGAAATAGTTTACTTGATCAATGGATTCTTTGATATAAATATTTATCAAGAGTTGTTGTATATTTGAAAATAGTTTATAATATTTCAATCGTTTAAAAGTGTATTGACAAAATCTATACTTAGTATTTACTATTATTTTCATATTTTCGCAAACATCGTTATTGAACGTCGCAAATAGTTAAGCCATTACTGACCAAATGTAACGTCGGATTTCGCTTACGCAAGTAAGAAATATATTGTTCGCGTTAATCCTTGCAAGAATGATCAGTCATTTGGTCGGTATGCTGCGGTTTTCTCGAATGTCGAACGTTATTTTTACGATACGATAGTTATCTGTAAGATTGTAAAAGTGGAAGAGAATTTTATTGATTGTTTTTACTACAACGAAGTTTGAGCAATGAAACGTGATGATAAAACTTTTGTTTGCCAGAGAAAATACATCGTAAATGCATGTGGCTGGATATTCATTATTAGCTAGGAGTTTTTCTTGTGAAAGATACATTAACCTTAATACTCGAATATATAACAGACGACAGAGTGCTCTTTATGCTATTTTATTGTATTTATTTGAAAAATACTTAATCCTTGTTGATAATCAGATTAATCGATTGACCTACTTTACCAACCAACATACTGTTATATGCATCAATTCGTGGAAAAACGGAATATCATCGCTATTGCAAAATGATGTATCGAAAATTGTCTGTCAAATGAGAAGAAAAGCTTGCTGAAATAAGTCATCAGCGAGGTAAAAAAAGGAACAAATAAAGGTGTTATCTAATGACCGACGTAGTCATGTCTTGTGTACAGTAGGCGGATGACGAGAGAAAACCGCGGAAAATTCAAATGCTCCCTAGGCCTCAATGCCACACTAGAATCCACGATTTTCTTCAGACAGCATGTGCGTCTATACTTTGCTCTGTGTCTCCCTTTACCATTTTTTTTTCTTTTTAGGGATTCCTACATTTAGCACACATGTTATATACCGAAGGAATGTGGTATGTACCAGACATGTTTGATTGTTTAAACATAAAATGCGCTTTACTTTCCATTTGAGTTTCAAATCTCTTTACGTTATTTCAAGAAGAAAAAAAGCTTTTGAAAGAGGTTCATTGTATCGCAGCAGAGCCAAACTCGTTATAATTCTAAAGAACGAACAAAATATCCAATTCTATCGAGGCTTTTCTTCTCGACAAAAGAGAGAGGGAGAGAGAGAGAGAG